GTACCAGAGACAGTATTTGTCTTTTGATGTACCTCAGACAGTGTTTGTCTGCTGATGTACCTGAGACAGTGTTTGTCTTCTGATGTACCTGAGACAGTGTTTGTCTGCTTATGTACCTGAGAGTGTTTGTCTGCTGATGTACCTGAGACTGTGTTTGTCTGCTGATGAGCCTCTGATAGTGTTTGTCTGCTTATGTACCAGATACAGTGTTTGTCTGCTGATGTACCTCAGACAGTGTCTGCCTGCTTATGTACTGGAGACAGTGTTTGTCTGCTGATGTACCTGAGACAGTGTTTGTCTGCTTATGTACTGGAGACAGTGTTCGTCTGTACCTGGAGACTGATGATGTACCTGAGACAGTGTTTGTCTGCTGATGTACCTGAGACAGTGTCTGTCTGCTGATGTACCTGAGACAGTGTTTGTCTGCTTATGTACTGGAGACAGTGTTTGTCTGCTGATGTACCTGAGGCAGTGTTTGTCTGCTTATGTACCTGAGACAGTGTTCGTCTGCTGAATGACCAGAGACAGTGTTTGTCTGCTGATGTACCTGAGACAGTGTTTGTCTACTTATGTACCGGAGACAGTAGTTGTCTGCTGATGTACCTCAGACAGTGTTTGTCTGCTTATGTACTGGAGACATTGTTTGTCTGCTGATATACCTGAGGCAGTGTTTGTGTCTGCTTATCTACCTGGAGACAGTGTTTGTCTGCTGATGTACTGCTGATGTACAGTGTCTGCTGATGTACCTCAGAGACAGTGTTTGTCTGCTGATGACAGTACCAGAGACAGTATTTGTCTTTTGATGTACCTCAGACAGTGTTTGTCTGCTGATGTACCTGAGACAGTGTTTGTCTTCTGATGTACCTGAGACAGTGTTTGTCTGCTTATATACCTGAGAGTGTTTGTCTGCTGATGTACCAGAGACAGTGTTTGTCTGCTTATGTACCAGATACAGTGTTTGTCTGCTGATGTACCTCAGACAGTGTTTGCCTGCTTATGTACTGGAGACAGTGTTTGTCTGCTGATGTACCTGAGACAGTGTTTGCCTGCTCATGTACTGGAGACAGTATTTGTCTTTTGATGTACCTGAGAAAGTGTTTGTCTGCTTATGTACTGGAGACAGTGTTTGCCTGCCTATGTACTGTAGACAGTCTTTGTCTGCTGATGTACCTGAGACAGTGTTTGCCTGCTTATGTACTGGTGACAGTGTTTGTCTGCTGATGTAACTGAGGCAGTGTTTGTCTGCTTATGTACCTGAGACAGTGTTCGCCTGCTGAATTACCAGAGACAGTGTTTGTCTTTTGATGTACCAGAAACACTGCTTGTCTGCTGATGTACCAGAGACAGTTATTGTCTGCTGATGTACCAGAGACAGTGTATGTCTGCTTATGTACCTGAGACAACGTTTGTCTGCTTATGTACTGGAGACAGTGTTTCCCTGCTGATGTACCAGAGACAGTGTTTGTCTGCTGATGTACTGGAGACAGTGTTTGTCTGCTGATGTACCTGAGACAGTGTTTCTATGCTTATGTACTGGAGACAGTGTTCGTCTGCTGATGTACCAGAGACAGTATTTGTCTTTTGATGTACCTGAGACAGTGTTTGTCTGTTGATGTACCTGAGACAGTGTTTGTCTGCTTATGTACCAGAGACAGTGTTTGTCTGCTTATGTACCTGAGACAGTGTTCGTCTGCTTATGTACTGGAGACAGTGTTTGTCTGCTGATGTACCTGAGACAGTGTTCGTCTGCTGATGTACCTGAGACAGTGTTTGTCTGCTGATGTACCAGAGACAGTGTTTGTCTACTTATGTACCAGATTCAGTGTTTGTCTGCTGATGTACCTAAGGCAATGTTTGTCTGCTGATGTACCTGAGACAGTGTTTGTCTGCTGATGTACCTGGGACAGTGTTTGTCTGCTGATTTACCTGAGACAGTGTTCGTCTGCTGATGTACCAGAGGCAGTATTTGTCTTTTGATGTACCTCAGACAGTGTTTGTCTGCTGATGTACCTGAGACAGTGTTTGTCTTCCGATGTACCTGAGACAGTGTTTGTCTGCTTATGTACCTGAGAGTGTTTGTCTGCTGATGTACCAGAGACAGTGTTTGTCTGCTTATGTACCAGATACAGTGTTTGTCTGCTGATGTACCTCAGACAGTGTTTGCCTGCTTATGTACTGGAGACAGTCTTTGTCTGCTGATGTACCTGAGACAGTGTTTCCCTGCTGATGTACCAGAGACAGTGTTTGTCTGCTGATGTACTAGAGACAGTGTTTTTCTGCTGATGTACCTGAGACAGTGTTTCTATGCTTATGTACCTGAGACAGTGTTCGTCTGCTGATGTACCAGAGACAGTATTTGTCTTTTGATGTACCTGAGATAGTGTTTGTCTGTTGATGTACCTGAGACAGTGTTTGTCTGCTTATGTACCAGAGACAGTTTTTTCAGCTTATGTACCTGAGACAGTGTTCGTCTGCTTATGTACTGGAGACAGTGTTTGTCTGCTGATGTACCTGAGACAGTGTTCGTCTGCTGATGTACCTGAGACAGTGTTTGTCTGCTGATGTACCAGAGACAGTGTTTGTCTACTTATGTACCAGATTCAGTGTTTGTCTGCTGATGCACCTAAGGCAATGTTTGTCTGCTGATGTACCTGAGACAGTGTTTGTCTGCTGATGTACCTGGGACAGTGTTTGTCTGCTGATGTACCTGAGACAGTGTTCGTCTGCTGATGTACCAGAGGCAGTATTTGTCTTTTGATGTACCTCAGACAGTGTTTGTCTGCTGATGTACCTGAGACAGTGTTTGTCTTCCGATGTACCTGAGACAGTGTTTGTCTGCTTATGTACCTGAGAGTGTTTGTCTGCTGATGTACCAGAGACAGTGTTTGTCTGCTTATTTACCAGATACAGTGTTTGTCTGCTGATGTACCTCAGACAGTGTTTGCCTGCTTATGTACTGGAGACAGTCTTTGTCTGCTGATGTACCTGAGACAGTGTTTGTCTGCTGATGTACCTGAGACAGTGTTTGCCTGCTTATGTACTGGAGACAGTCTTTGTCTGCTGATCTACCTAAGAAAGTGTTTGTCTGCTTATGTACTGGAGACAGTGTTCGTCTGCTTATGTACTGGAGACAGTATTTGTCTTTTGATGTACCTGAGACAGTGTTTGCCTGCTTATGTACTGGAGACAGTGTTTGCTTGCTTATGTACTGTAGACAGTCTTTGTCTGCTGATGTACCTGAGACAGTGTTTGCCTGCTTATGTACTGGTGACAGTGTTTGTCTGCTGATGTAACTGAGGCAGTGTTTGTCTGCTTATGTACCTGAGACAGTGTTCGTCTGCTGAATTACCAGAGACAGTGTTTGTCTTTTGATGTACCAGAAACACTGCTTGTCTGCTGATGTACCAGAGACAGTTATTGTCTGCTGATGTACCAGAGACAGTGTATGTCTGCTTATGTACCTGAGACAACGTTTGTCTGCTTATGTACTGGAGACAGTGTTTCCCTGCTGATGTACCAGAGACAGTGTTTGTCTGCTGATGTACTAGAGACAGTGTTTGTCTGCTGATGTACCTGAAACAGTGTTTCTCTGCTTATGTACTTGAGACAGTGTTCGTCTGCTGATGTACCAGAGACAGTATTTGTCTTTTGATGTACCTCAGACAGTGTTTGTCTGTTGATGTACCTGAGACAGTGTTTGTCTGCTTATGTACCAGAGACAGTTTTTGTCTGCTTATGTACCTGAGACAGTGTTCGTCTGCTTATGTACTGGAGACAGTGTTTGTCTGCTGATGTACCTGAGACAGTGTTCGTCTGCTGATGTACCTGAGACAGTGTTTGTCTTTTGATGTACCAGAGACAGTGTTTGTCTGCTGATGTACCAGAGACAGTGTATGTCTGCTGATGTACCAGAGACAGTGTTTGTCTGCTGATGTACCAGAGACAGTGTATGTCTGCTGATGTACCAGAGACAGTGTTTGTCTGCTGATGTACCTCAGACAGTGTTTGTCTGCTTATGTAGTGGAGACAGTGTTTGTCTGTTGATGTACCTTAGGCAGTGTTTGTCTGCTTATGCACCAGAGACAGTGTTTGTCTGCTGATGTACCTGAGACAGTGTTCGTCTGCTGATGTACCAGAGACAGTGTTTGTCTTTTGATGTACCAGAGACAGTGTTTGTCTGCTGATGTACCTGAGACAGTGTTTGTCTGCTTATGTACCTGAGACAGTGTTTGTCTGCTGATGTACCAGAGACAGTGTTTGTCTGCTGATGTACCTGAAACAGTGTTTGTCTGGTGATGTACCAGAGTCTGATGTTTTTGCCGAGATGATGCCTCGATGATGACATGCCAGTGAACCTTTCACATCTTATGATATACCAAAGACATACATAAAGCAAATAATCTTTATTATCAACGAGTAAATGTACACGTAAAGGGATAAATATAACGAAAATACGTATTAGTACACACTATTGTAATTGTTGTGCAGGTATAACGTGTTTCAGCACCACAAAGTGACTTTCAGTTCTATGTGAAAGTTGACATGATACAAGGCCTGAAACTTTGTTGAAATACATACTAACACAGCATGAAGCGCAGTATCTTTTATATGGAATGAATAACAAATGTATTAAGGTGTAATACCAGTCCTAAACATGATTTGTAAGGGGACTTTAGGAAATACAACATTGTAACTAGGAAAGATGATAAAACACTGATCATGAAGACCTTAAAACTCGTCAAACGCTGAATTTTGTACAGATTATTGTCCACATAAAGTATACCTCAGAGCAGACACGCCCACCTTCAACCGCGTGCCACAACGTTTCACACATCATTTGGCGCACTATCGTACATACCGTGATTCAGTGTTATCTGTTGCTTACAGGTGCATCAAAAGGAAGATTCACAAAGGGGATACATTTGGTTGATTTTGTACGTAAACATTGCTTTAAGAATGGTTAAAATACAAGGGCTACAGATGACGTATACGCCTCAGGGTTATTTGGTTTGTATAGTGACGTTTTCATTTGACACAACGCTGACCCTTGAGTTGGTAGTAGACGTGTCATTGGACATCATTTTGGACCGCCCCATGGCGGCCTGCTTCTGTTTGCAGCAGAACATGGCGAAGAACTGATCACGGAATCTCTTGCCTCCAACACAGTAGAGAACGAAATTTAAGGCATGGTTGGTATACATCATGTTGTTGCAGATTGTACGGACCAGGTGGTACTGAGCCTGCTCGTGGGCACTGTGCTGAACCCAGAAGTAGCGTTCGACGACAATGATGACGGCCATTGGGGTGACGAAGATGAGGAAGGTGAAGGACACGGCGAGAAGCATAACGGTGACTTGGCGCTCCCTGTTCCGTGTGTCAGCTGCAGTTTTTTCCTGAACTCCTGTGTGTGTCATCTGCCGCTGCATGCGTCCCGCCCGCTTCACTTCCATGATGATTAGTACGTTCAAAACCAACAGACACGTGAGCGGCCCATAGCAGTAGACCACGGCGTCTACCCACGGCCATATCTTGGTTACGAAGAACGTATTGGTCTCGCCAGGTGTTGTGCACTTCTCCACACCTGTGTTTGGGTCGACTACTATCTGGCGTGTGAAGAAGCTGTGAACATCAAGAGAAAACGCGACAATGAACTCCACCAGTATCAGTACTCGGGCCTTCTTGATTGTGATCCATTTGGGAGCATGAAGGGGGGAACTTGATGGCTATGTAGCGCTCTATCGTCATGGTGCACATGAGGAACACGTTGTAGTGGATGGAAAAATACATGAGGAAGAATATGAGCCCGCAGGTTCCGCGATTGAAAATCTCGTGACCCGGAAACTTGGTAACCATGAAGAGGATGTTGAGAACGAGGACGATGGTGTCGGTGCAGGACAGTACGGCCATGTACAGGTAGGAAGTGGTGTTGCGCATGTTTGAGCTCAACAGGACGATGAAGGACAAGGTATTTCCCAAGATGCCGAGAATGGAGCAGATTGGGGCGTACACCACATCCATATACCAGCTCACTTGAAATTCTAAGAATGCTTTGAGTCGGCCGTCCTCTGACAGGTAGAGAACATCCTCCACCTTGTAAGTAGTGACCTCAATCGAGGTGTTGCCTGTCACGTTACCATTCGGGATGGTGGTCATGTTGTCAAACAGAAGACCGCTCATGTCCATAGTAGTGGAATCTGCAACAGAGTAAGACAATCTATGTGCATATGGTTGTCATTTAGCAGTCCTATCAGCTCTAGAATTGTTAAAGCTTATTTCGGAATAAACTATCACACGTATTTCTTCGATATTATGGAATTGAAATCGATCTAGTATGTTTATTGTGTATCAATATTGTAATTGTTCCAAATTAACTGTTACAATCCACTGATGTGATCAAGTGCATGAAAATCGACTTCTGCTGATGGCGTTCCTGGAGACTCTGCTTATAGGTGTGGAACTGACTGCTTTTCAATAAGTCCGTTATGAAAAAATGATGTGTATGAGAGGAATCTGATTTGCACTAACACTGACATGCATTTCGTTGTGTGAAAACGTGGCTTCAGAATACCCAGAAAACAGCAGCTGGTCTTTCTTGTACCTGGATTAGAAATGTGCTAAACGAGCATGCAGACGTATATTTGTATGTATGTAAATACATGAGATGTGAAATATGAAAGAAATCACAAAGTCTGTGAAAGTCAGCATACAAGAGTACTTGCGTCTAAATAAAAGAGGTCTTTTGTTACTGCAAAATATACAACCGTACTTCAAGATGTCTGCACTCTGAAGTATTTACTACCTCTAAGGATTCCTAACAACGCGATTAGCCACATCCTAATACAACTAGAAAATATGTGATGCAGCAATCGGTGACTAAAGATTATGAAAAAGTGGAGTCTGAACTAAAGAAACCCAGCCATGCGTGTGTTCAGAGCCTTGATAACACCTCTACTGATCAACTAAAACCTGCAGGGAAATATCTTAATGGACAGTAGCTAGACCATTCAACACTGGAAGTGTGTACACCCAGAATGGCTCTATGTGTGGGAATGTTCTGCCAATCCAGGAAAGACAGGGAAACATGTAGCACATCCTTCTGTACTGCAGCAAGCTTTCAGGTGACATAACGTCCTTTGCTTACGTCCAACACATCCTTCTGTACTGTAGCAAGCTTTCAGGTGACATAACGTCCTTTGCTTACGTCCAACACATCCTTCTGTACTGCAGCAAGCTTTCAGGTGACATAACGTCCTTTGCTTACGTCCAACACATCCTTCTGTACTGTAGCAAGCTTTCAGGTGACATAACGTCATTTGCTTACGCCCAACACATCCTTCTGTACTGCAGCAAGCTTTCAGGTAACATAACGTCATTTGCACAATATGTGAATTTTCACCTTTTTACCATTGAAATTACATCATATGAAATAAGTGCTCTTAAACTAATGCAATAAATTCTTCTAAAAATGGCTCATGCGTTTCTTTTTTTAAGAGTGTAGTATCCATATATACTAATCGCGGAGTGAACACGGAGTGTCTCAGAGGCATATGTGTGCTTAAATTCCAGTTAGTTCAATAGTTTTTCTTCAACTAAATCACGTTTATTGTGGTTTAATTCATAAGGTATCAAACATGTCGTCCGCAGAGGAAAGAGAGATGCTCCATCTGTTCAGTAAGGTATCTGTGCATATCGGGCAGATATAGGATCAATAAATAGCCCCGGTCATGATGTTGTTGGAATTTCCTGATGAAACATGTAGCGTAGGGCACAGTCACATGAAATAATACGGGAAAAGGAAGAGAGTTGACAATGGAACACGACGGTACAACACATACATAAGGAATTATTTATATGTTCCAAAGTCTGTATACATGCTTCAGTACTGACTACACAGACATAGTACTGACTTTAACCGACCCAAAATATAATTGAAGATTTTAATGAAATTACACCGAGTCTGTTTTCATTTCAAGGAGCATTTGAACCCACTGACATGACAAAACATACATTTAGTTTAATACATCTCATGAACTAACACAAATTTAAGGTCATTTTTTAAATTACTTTGGTGATCTATAAAATTAAAATGACATTCTATTTTGTTACTTCATGTGTTAAAATACAATTTATCACAGACTATCATTATTGGAATTCTCACAGTGATTATAGTGTTAAGTGTTAATCATTATTGCAAAGCTTCATACATTATAGCTTGCATCAACATGACACGGCTTACCTGGACGTGTGTACTGTCTGTGTGAGGGTGGTCAGAGCTCACAGTGGTACATGTAGACAGGGGAAAACTATTTAATCTTCCAGTTGTTTCCATATATTAACATGTATCGAAACCACTTTGTTTCTGATTGGCGCGAAGCACGAGGCTACAGACGGAATATCCTGGAATGCTCCCTTGTGAATGGCTGGCTCGTCACCGACTGGCCCCACCTACTCCCTAGTGCTGGCTCTAGGTCCGAGCTGATACACAGGTTCACTTTTATCATTTCAGTTTGTTCCAAACACCGCCCGACGGTCTTACATTAGATAACACAAACAAACATTATCAAGATGACAGAGATTATTGTGAATCGTTTAGAAAAATATTGAGACATAACATTTATAAGTACGGAAGCGCTGAAGGGACCTCATGAAATATAATTTATCTTGAGCGCACAAGTTAGTATATTGAGCGCACGAGTTAGTATATTGAGCGCACAAGTTAGTATCTTGAGCGCACAAGTTAATATCTTGAGCGCACAAGTTAGTTATCTTGAGTGCACAAGTTAATATGTTGAGCGCTCAACTTAGTATATTGAGATACACTGCTTCATAAGCAGTTCATGTGGAAGCAAGGAGGAGTGGAAACGCGATCTCATTCATGCTTAGTTCAGTCTTGGGTTCCAATACAAACACATAACACATCTTCTTGTCAAAAATCATTGTATAGTATAGTACGCCATTCGAAGCGTATTCTGAGGGGTATGTCCCTCTTTCGTACCAGATACCAGATTTGCTGATGTTACAGTGAGTGAGTGAGTACGGTTTACACCGCTTTTAGCAATATTCCAGCAATATCACGGTGGGGAACACGAGAAATGGGCTGCACACATTGTACCCATGTGGGGAATCGAACCCAGGCGTGACGAGCGGACGCTTTAACCACGAGGCTACCCCACCGCCCCGCTGATGTTACATACTTTATTGCGGACAACTTCGACCATCTGAACAAAGACATGGTTATCGTTGATGCATCAAAAATGTATCCAATGCGGTTTAATCGTGAAACAGGATACTTTACGGTCGTTGTTGGACCCGAATGGTGTTGAATCTTTATTCTTCAACTTCCTGTGTTGTTAAAACATGCTAAATAAACTACAACACACATACGTATACATAAGGGATTGATACGGAAGAAGTGAAACGGGGAACACGGTATTTTAGTAAGAAATAAAGTCGGTATATATGCTATACGTGCACATACTAATGGATCAAATAAATCAGGCGGGTTTTAAATGATATTGTACAGAGTTAAACTGCCATTGTACCCACGTTAGGAAACATTACTGATACATGCATACCAAGACTACAGACTATAGTCCCTGAAAGTGGTCGACTTTACTTCCAATACATCAGACATTAGTTTTATAATTAAGATAATTAAGTATAACACTCAATGTTTACATTTTTCATGGTCATGTAATACTATATATACATAATAAAGCCGTAGCAAAAAACAAGTTATCCAAGTGTTCATAATACTATGTACCAATATAAGAAGTAAGTAAAACCACTATTCATCCCTGCAATAAACTCCTACTCATGTTTATGTTTTAATTCTTATTATGACATTACACATACCTAGGCCTGCTTTATGTAATAAAGCAAAAAGTGGTAAAATCAGATACAAAGAATAGTATTAACAAGCATAAAGACGATGAACGTTTACATGATAAACATTATCAATGTTCATGATACAATTGCATACTTTTACATAGTCTCATCATAAACACCTATAGTTAACTCCGACTTTGCATCATTTGAAATCTTCCAAAAAGGATATAAGTTTGTACATTTTAGCCAGCAGTCAAGCAAATGTGCGTTCCATTAATGCCATTAGATGCTAAACACGAAGTTGAGCGCTCAAGATATTAACTTGTGCGCACAAGATACTAACTTGTGCGCTCAAGATACTAACTTGTGCGCTCAAGATGTTAACTTGTGCGCTCAAGATACTAACTTGTGCGCTCAAGATATTAACTTGAGCGCTCAAGATATTAACTTGTGCGCTCAAGATACTAACTTGTGCGCCCAAAATATTAACTTGGGCGCTCAAGATAAGTAACTTGTGTGTTGATGAAGAATGATGACAATTTTTATAACGTCACTTGCTTGACAACGACATTAGAATCTATGTCGAAACGTCGCCTTCCACAGAATAAAAGAAGTTGTATATTCATAGAAATTGTGATCATTCTGGATCTTGGGGACTTTTTAAATGAGCTGGTTCTGGGATCTAAGAGTTTTGGCTGGTGTATGCTGCGATGGGATCAGTAAGTGAAGCTTGTGTGGACGCTTGAAGGCAAGGTATAGGAGCTTCAAGTCAATACGAGATGCAATAGGTCTCTATTGAAGGAATTTGAGATTAGGAGTTCTATAGTCTGACTTGGATTTCATAGAAACAATGCGAACAGCTGCATTTGGAACATTTTGCAGTTTATAAAGCTGAGCTTTGTTGAAAGCTACAATCAGTCGATCACAGTAATGTATACTTATGACGAGACAAGACACGTGACAAGGACTCACGAACTTTCTGTAGTGACGTATTTTCGGATGTTTTCAATCACGCGCACATGAAAGTAGCATGGTTTACAAAGTCTGCCCTGGTTTTTTGAACCTGTAAGAATTAACAAAATAATAATTCATTCATCTCAGTAGCACCCAAGCTCAAATATATTGGTTTTCTAAACACTTGATCTTCTTAGCACTTTAATCTTATGTTTTCTTATTGCTTTCAATACATTCTCTCAATTAAAATAGTAAATATGTCTTAAGTTAACAAGTTTTCAAGTTTGATCTTTTTTCCTAATCAATGCATATGTTTTTCATTGTCTTAATTATTCTAGTAAATATGTCTTAAGTTAACAAGTTTTCATCAAAGTCAAAATTTCATCAAAGTCAAAATAACT